CAACCATAATGCGAAAACTCAAAAACTTATTAATGTATGAAACAAAAATTCACTAGAGTCTATTAAATATCGTTTCCCAAAACCTGAAAGTCATCACACCAAGAACATCTAATTCAGAAATACCAAGTCATAGAGTATTAACGACACCAGAATAAATAAATAAAATAATTTGTGTCCGAAAACAAAGGATATCATGCCATGACCGAGAGAATCCAACACGAGATAGAATGAATAACTCACTATGGAACCTAATATGATGGAGATTGGCTAGAGCTGAGGGCGAGTCGAAGTCGCTAGTACACTTGTTGCACTCCACAAAGGAAACGAAGAAAATACAAGTAGGGGTTAGTACCGGGCAACATGTACTGAGTAGATATCATTGACCGACTCAAAATAGAAACCAATATGCATAAAGTAATAACATGAAATCAACTATAACTCTTAGCAAGTGGCAAACAACAAACAACATGAACAAGTGACAACAGTAATGAAGCTAGTGTGTAATTAGTCACAATATCAAGAACACACATGAGGACTCATTCCTCCACATCACGCTCTTTTGGGAAATGAGCTCTTTGAGCTTGAGTACATTAAGTTATTTTAATATATATATTTTTATTTAATGTTTCCGTGCGGAATGTGACACCCGATCCAATCATATTGTGTCGCCTCGTGCCACCCGATCCAATTATATCGTGTCGTCCCGCATAATATATTTTTTCATTTTTAACCCTCCCCGCATAGACCCGCTCCGCATGAACATACCCCACATAATTTTTTAAATATTTTTTTTCTAGTTAAGTTTGATACTAAAAATAAATTCATTTTTTCATTAAGTTGTATTAATTTAATAGGATTGTGACTTAAAAATTTATTTTTAGGGGTCAATTGGGAAACATGTAAGAAATTTAATTATGTTTTTATTGAACCATTTTCATTTACTATCTTGAATATTTTAGTAGTTTTAAAGAAATTATCTAAATAAAATAATGCTCTATCACTCTTATAACATGTAAAAAAAATTAAAATTAAGTTTAAACCCACATAAAACCACATATACCCGCATCCCACCCGCATAGCCTTAAATCTGCCCTACCCCGCATTCGCCCCGCCCCATTGCCATCCCTATCACGAGTGGTACCCACACTTAACCTTCTAGGTGGACGAACCAACGAATTCAACCCCAACTTATATTAATTGTTCAACTTACGAAATACAATCATAATGCGAAAACTCAAAACTTATTAATGTAAGAAATAAAAATCCACTAGAATTTATTATATATTGTTTCTTAAAACCTGAAAGTCATCACACCAAGGACATCTAATCCCAAAATGTCAAATAAGAGTATTAAAGACACAAAAATAAATAAATAAATAAAATAGTTTGTGTCCAAAAACTAAGGAAATCATGTCATGAACGAGATAATCCAACACGAGCTAGAATGAATAGCTCACCCTGGAACCTGATGTGCTTGAGACTGGCTAGAGCTAAGGGCGAGTCGAAGTCACTAGTATATTTAATCCACTCCACAAAGGAAAACAAAGAAAATACAAGTAGGGATCAGTGTAGGGCTGACTCAAAATAGGAACCAATATGCATAAAGTTATAACATGAAATCAACTATAGCACTTAGCAGGTGGCAAACAACAAACAACATGAACAAGTGACAATAGCAATGAAGCAAATACATAATTAGTCACAATATCAAGAACACGCATGATGACTCATGCATGCCTCCACACCACGCTCTTTTGGGAAATAAGTTCTTTGAGATTGAGTACATTAAGTATTTTAATATGCTTTTCTTTAATGTTACTGTGCCGAAATGTGACACCCGATCCAATCATATTGTGTCGGCTCGTGGCACCTGATCCAAATATATTGTATCGGCTTGTGGCACACAATCCAACAATATAATTAATTCCTCATTCTGCATCATCACTTTCCACTTCATTAACAAGATTTCATCAAACCTTGTTTATCCAAGGCATCACTTTGATAGAGCAAGTTCAAGATTATGGATTTCACGGTCTTGAGATTTCAGCCCAATCACAATGACACATAAATTATCCAAACCACAACAATTAAGTACATATAAAACTCATCATTACTTTATGACTATCAATCACTATTAAGAGTTTCTCTATCACATATAATAAACCAAGTCAAGCAAGATAATTCCTAATGTTTTTTTCTTTCCTCAATGCCTCAGAATGTTTCTATCTATCAAGTATACAATATTTATAAGCAAGCGAGTCCGTAGACACTCATATTACTATATATCTAGCCTTAACTCAATAACTTACTCAAATCTATAATCAATTTTCAAATCTTGAGGTCAATTAATACGTTAAGTCTCTTATTTCTTAAATTTCAAGCCTATGGTTAAGTTTCGAATCCTCTGATATCATAAATCTAATGATATTCATATAATACAGTACACCTAATATTTAATTACTTATCCAGTATATCAAAACTTAAATCATATATTAATAACTATAAAAAAAAAAAAAAAGACCGGAGCCACATATTATAATTGATCGTGGTACAAGAATATAAATTTCAGACTTGATATATCATCTATCTGCCACGATTAATTCCCACAACATAGCCAGCCACTTGGGAAGGTGCAGCAATACCCTGTGGTGTTATATGTGTGGCAGTTCCATTAAACATCTCCCCCACCAAATTGGATAACTCATATGTACAAAAATATAACTTTCCAATTCTAAATTTCTTTTCAATCAAAAAAACATTAAGTTGATAAAGTTATCCATTAACCAAACATTAATTATATATTCACTAAGAAGCAACTATACGTAAACAAGATGGGGAGAATTCGTTAGGTTACCTGACTTCTTCTTATTGATGCCAAGATGGGTGTCGTACAAGGATTCAAATTAGAAGAAATAATTTAAAACCCTTTTAAGCTCTAATTTATTGTTATACATAGATCAAGTCTCAAAGGGTATTAATTAATTAATTAATGGACTTGGCCCATTAATTATCAAGCAATAAAATAGACGAGAGGGAGTTGCTCGGATGGTAAGCACCCCTCACTTCCAATCCAAAGGTTGCAAGTTCGAGTCACTAAGGGAGCAAAAGGGGTGGGAGCTCCTAGGGAGGGATAAAAAAAAATTAAAAAAATCAAGCAATAAAATAAAAAATTGATTAATAAATATCTATCAACTAAAAATAATTGTAGTTAAATAAATAGTTCAAAATTACAATTTAAAATTTACGGGAAGAGTCGAAATAGTTGTAGTACTCACAATGACCTAACAAATCGTTACATATAATGAATTTAATAAGTTGATATAATGATATTAAAATTGGAGTCTCCTAAAAAATTTGGACCCCCAAGCTATTGTTTTAGTTGCTTTATGGTCAAGACAACCTGGATCATGGATGAGGTGTGTACTACACTCTCTTTTATTTTTTTTTAAATTGTCAAATGACACTCCATATGGACAAAATATTTCATCTTGATAAAAAAATAATAAATTATTAGTATTAGTTAAAAGTTAAAGATTAAAGTATCACCATCCCATTTTTTTAAAGAAATAAAATTAAAAACATTTTTCTTAACCCACTCCACCATCAACTCCTCTCACCGTACCCTTTCACTACAAAAGGTATAATGGTAACCCTTTGGAACTTGCTATCCAATACCCCCTCTCCTCCCCCAATTCCCCCCCCCCCCCCCCCCCAAAAAAAACAA